CCTGCCTTACTAGGTTGGGGAAGTTCTCCTGGATGACAACCTGCAGAGTGTTTTCCAACTTAGTTCCATTTTCCCCGTCACTTTCAGGCACACCAATCAGACGTAGATATGGTCTTTTCACATAATCCCATATTTCTTGGAGACTTTGTTCATTTCCTTTTACGCTTTTTTCTCTACATTTCTCTTCTCGTCTCGCTTCATTTCATTCATTTGATCTTCAATCACTGATACTCTTTCTTCCAGTTGATCGAGTCAGTTACTGAAGTTTGTGCATTTGTCATGTAGTTCTTGTGTTATGGTTTTCATCTCTATCAGTTCTTTTAAGGTCTTTTCTGCATTGATTATTCTAGTTATCCATTCATCCATCCTTTTTTCAAGGTTTTTCGTTTCTTTGCACTGGTTACGTAGTTCCTCCTTTAGTTCTGAGAAGTCTGATCGACCGAAGCCGCCTTCTCTCAACTCATCAAAGTCATTCTCCGTCCAGCTTTGTTCTGTTGCTGGTGATGAGTTGCATTCCTTTGGAGGGGGAGATGCACTGTGATTTTTTGAATTTCCAGCTTTTCTGCACTGCTTTTTCCCCATCTTTGTGGTTTTCTCTGCCTTTGGTCTTTGATGATGGGGATGTACTGATGGGGTTTTGGTATGGGTGTCCTTTCTGTTTGTTAGTTTTCCTTCTAACAGTCAGGACCCTCAGCTGTAGGTCTGTTGGAGTTTGCTTGAGGTCCACTCCAGACCTGTTTTCCTTGGTATCAGCAGCGGAGGCTGCAGAAGATAGAATATTGCTGAACAGCGAGTGTTGCTGTCTGATTCTTGCTCTGGAAGCTTCGTCTCAGGGGTGTACCCTGCTGTGTGAGGTGTGAGGTGTCGGTCTGTACCTAGTGGGGGATGTCTCCCAGTTAGGCTACTCAGGGGTCAAGGACCCACTTGAGCAGGCAGTCTGTCTGTTCTCAGATCTCAACCTCTGTGCTAGGAGATCCACTGCTCTCTTCAAAGCTGTCAGACAGGGGCATTTACCTCTGCTGAGGTTTCTGCTGCTTTTTGTTTAGCTATGCCCTGTCCCCAGAGGAGGAGTCTACAGTGGCAGGCTGGCCTCCTTGAGCTGTGGTGGCCTGCACCCAATTCAAGCTTCCTAGCGGCTTTGTTTACCTACTTAAGCCTCAGCAATGGCGGATGCCCCTCCCCCAGCCTCGCTGCCACCTTGCAGTTAGATCTCAGACTGCTGTGCTAGCAATGAGGGAGGCTCCGTGGGCATGGGACCCTCTGAGCCAGGTGTGGGATATAATCTCTTGGTGTGCCATTTGCTAAGACCCTTGGCAAAGCGCAGTATTAGGGTGGGAGTTACCCAATTTTCCAGGTGTTGTGTGCCTCAATTTCCTTTGGCTAGGAAAAGGAATTCCCTTCCCTCTTGAGCTTCCCAGGTGAGGCAATGCCTTGCCCTGCTTCTGCTCTTGCTGGTCGGGCTGCACCCACGGACCAGCGTCAACTGTCCGACACACCCCAGTGAGATGAACCCAGTACCTCAGTTGAAAATGCAGAAATCACCCGTCTTCTGTGTCGCTCACACTGGGAGCTGGAGCCTGGAGCTGTTCCTATTCGGCCATCTTGGGCATGCCCTTTTTTTCTTTTTTATTTTTGAGAGTCTCGCTCTCTCGCCCAGGCTGGAGTGCAGTGGCGCAATGTTGGCTCACTGCAAGCTCCACCTCCATGGTTCACGTCATTCTGCCTCAGCCTCCCGAGGAGCTGGGCCTACAGGTGCCCACTACCACGCCCAGCTAATTCTTTGTATTTTTAGTAGAGACAGGGTCTCACTGTGTTAGCCAGGATGGTCTCAATAGTCCATATATTTAATAGGCTGCCCCAGGTGATTCTGATATAGCTGGTGCAACATGCTTTGCTGGGTGGTGCAACAGACTTTGAGAAAAGTTGCACAGGGTAATATCAGAGAGAAAGGAGGAAGAGATTTGTGGCTGTTGCTATTTGTTAGAAGCTGACTTCTGATTGTCTGCAATAGACCCTGGTAGGGATAGGGGCCACAGGAGCAGCATGAAGCACAAGCTGTAGCATCTACTACCCCTGGGTTGGGGATGACACAGAATGATGCTCATATGAAGAAATGGTGAAGTCAGCTCTCATTGGGTGGGGTGGAATTCCATAGAAGGAGACAGTACAGAGAGCATATCCCCAATCTAACTTGGGCATGTGGATTCCCAATGAGCCGAGCCATCATTTTAATTTAATGAGCAAATGAAAACAGTGGGCAAAAGAAAAATATAAATGTTTCCAGGACTCAGGATGGGTGGGAAAGAAATGACTGGAAAGGGGAGACTCAAAAATCAGGGAAACAGATGAAGTGAGGAGTAGGAAAGAAAAAGAGAGCAAGAGGAAGATTCTTTTTGAAAGGCCACTTTATTGATGGAGATAAAACTTAATGGAGCTCCCCACAGCCCTCCCCTCACTCATGTTAGTGGCTTCACTGGGCATCTGAGACCAGCGTGGCCTGTTACCCACATAGACTGGGCTGCTTAGCCCGCCCAGCCTATCACACCGCCCGCTCCACGTTGGGCAGCCACATAAAAACACGTCACAGCTCAAGAAGATCCATGGATGCACCTCTGAATCCCTCCCCCCAACAATGGATTCTGTGCATTTTTTTAATATTGTACAAAATATGTTAACTAGGAAAAGTTAGCTGTACTGTGACAAGTGCGGGACGTCCTATTAGGATTACCGTCCCCCGGGCATTACTTTTTATTGCAGTAAGACCTCTAAAAGGTGGAGCTGTACAAACTGAAAAAAATCTAAACGATTTTAAGAAGAGCAGCAACTCAATACTGCTTTAGTTCATTTAAATTTTCTTTCCCAAAAATACACTCCTAAATATACAAACTATACAATCTTATTATTTTAATGCTGGTTTTTTTTTTTTTGTTTCTGTTTTTGTGTGTGTGTGTGTGTGTGTGTTTTGTTTTTGTTCTGTTTTTAATAACAACAGTAGGACCCAAACTAAAAAATCAGTTCATCTTCAAACCAACAAGAGCACTAGAGGACTTGTGACTCAGTACCTTCATATAACACCACATAAATAACTTTAGCCACAGTCAATGTTCACAGCCTGGTCAGTGGAACAAAAGGAATACTTTTCTGGCGATTAGACGTCATCTGCAGAGAGAGCTGGGATATTCATCCGAGGCCGGGTGAAAAATGCCATCTTCTCCCTATAAGAGAGATCATCCCTTTAGAGTAGGAGCAGGGGTTTTCAACCTTATTCTGTTGAGATTCTGGGCAGGATAATTCTTTGTCTTGGGGGCTGTCCTATACATTCACTGTAGAATGTTTAGCAACGTCCTTGGCCTCTGCCCTCTAGACGCTGGCCGTATCCTTGACCTCCAGTTACGACAACCCAAAATGCATGCTCATTGCCAAATGTTCCAGGGGCAAGGGGAGAAATCACGCCTGGTTGAGAACCACTGCTTTAAAGACCATTAGCATGAACAATGACCCTTAGTTCACATCAAATCAGAAGCTTCTCAGAGTTTAAAAGGATCCTTGGGCCACTTCCAATGTTTGTTTGTTTCAGATTCTCAATTTGTTAAAAAGTTAAGAGATGCCCAAAGATAGTTGTACAAATGTACATTTTAAAAGTTTATATTCCACAAAGGAATTTTTTTTTAGCACATACACAAACATGTGTACCTTATCTGAGAGGACATCAGAAGTCTAAATGCTAGGGCCTCCGTGGATGGGAGACCCAGGCCAAATGGCATTCGGGACCCTCCGAGAATACACCCGGGTCCAGCATGGCAAGAAAGCACCTCCCTGGGATCCTAGCAGGTGGCAGGCAGAGCCAGGGAGGCCCAGCAAGCATCCATTACCCACAGGCTTATTTATCATTCAGCCAACCCTCCACAATTACCAGTGATGAAAACACTACGAGGAAAGGCTGGAGCAGGTGGCTCATTCATTAAACAAGAGGATCTAACAAATTAGCTCGAGTTGTGTGGGGACTGATAAAGACAGCCGGGGGAACAGTGCTGCAGAGCTCATGGATCGCCAGGGATGGCTTGGCGGAGGATGAACATCTGTTACAGAGAAAGCCAGTGCTCTGTGAGCAAGGCATGGGAGCAGTAAGACCACAGACAGAAGACTAAGGCCGTGGGTTGGCTGAGAAAGGGAGAGGGGGCTGTCGGGGCCCTCTGCTTACCTGAAAGACTGCACTTCTGGGGGCTCCTTACAGCTCTGGCCTCGGAGCCTGTGCACATCCTTGGCAGCTGCCCTCATCATCTTGTCTGTCTGAAGCTCACCCTTGTGCTCTGCTTGGTCCATCTGCTGGGCAAAGCAAGCAGGGCCCTGAGTCAGTGGAGGGGGCCTCCAGAAAGGGGCAAGGAGAACTCCCTATCACAATAGAGGGGGCTCCTGTAGGGATGGCACCCTCACTCCTGCTCCCCGTGGGATCCACTTCTTTCAGAACCATAATGGGAAGTGCTCAAATCATCTGTTTGAGTGAGTAGATTTTTGGGGCCAGGAAACAGAATACCTGTGTGGATCTGAGGAATTGAGGAGATGAGGGCTGCCTGGTGAAATGTGCACTACCTCTAATCCTCAGGCCACCCAGGAAGGTAGACGTTATTACCTCTATTTTACCCAGGCAACTGAGGCTCCAGCATAGTAAGAAATTTCTTGAATGTCAGACTACTAAGAAGTGGTGGAAACCCAGTCCCAAGCCATGCAGTAGTTCTTAAGAGGCTTGGGTATAACACTATGTCCCTTCCTCCTAATGTAAATGTATGCAAACACTTTTAAGAACAAACCACAGACAGCCCGAAAATATCCATGTACCACATACTTGAAAACATTGCACAAAGACAGAATTTTGGTAAATAAAGCCATCATTTCAATGGTTCTTTGTTAGAAGTCATAGATGTTACTTTTTTTTTTTTACTATTTGAAAGGTCAAGTTTTCTCAGTTTGTTTTTCTTAAGTCAGGGCACGTATTACTTCTCAGTCTTTTGACTAAGATCAAGTGTTAAGGTAGGGCACATAGGCATTTGTTTTCTGATCTCTTTTTGCCTTGGCTACCAGGAAGCTCAAAGATCAATATAATAACTAACTATTATTAGGTTACTTTAGGTTTGGGATATATTTATTTCCTCTCCTCCTTCAAGCCTTCCAATTTTCTATTTTCCCCTCAATGCTCTTGTTATAATCCTGTTTATAAGTAAACAGGGTATAAATAAGAAAGAAATAAACTTTTCTGGAACTTCAGAGCTGCCAGAGTCAGTCTGAAGCTCCCACATCAGTCCAGGCCTAAGAAGTCCAGCATCATCTTCCTGCCGTAGGGCATCACCACCTGCCCTGAGCACTGAGATTTCAGCTGATGGTCCTGACAGTTCAGGTAGGCACCCTCTGTAAGGTACTCTCAGCGAGTCTGGCTGTGTGCAGAGAGAACTAGCAAAGGTCTTTCTTGCCGTGGGTGGTGATCACAGAGTGGCAGGTGTTATTTTTCATAAAGGAGTAGAGAATGGCCCTTGGATATTGGCCCTATATTGTTTGTTTCTTCATGGCAGTCCGGGACCTGTTGGGACCTTAAAAGCCTGCTGGGTGCCACACTCAAATTTTTACCCTTCCAGTTGTTTTAAATATAGCTCAAATAAGCAACTTTTAAATATACAACCTTCCAGTTTGGCATACCCTGTGAAATTGTACCCAACACTTGCTAGCCATAGATAAAGCCTGGGCCTGTAAGAGACCCCGAGCTGCTGCTGTGCTTTGGAGTTCCCTGACCCAGAGACTCCCCATCGTGCTGCAGAGCTACCTAACCTAGATGGCCCCTCTTCCCCAGCTCTCCCCTGGGAGTTCCCTTGCCTTCCTCCACACCGGGCAGTAGCCCCCAGCACCTTTGGAAGGTCTCATGCTGTGAGGGGCTTCCCTGGCATGCAAACCTGTCAAAGTGTAGTGCAAGCCAGGCACGCCGGCTCATGCCTGTAATCCCAGCACTTTGGGAGGCCGAGGTGGGTTGATTGAGCCCAGGAGTTTGAGACCAGCCTGGACAACATGGTGAAACCCCATCTCTACAGAAAATACAAAAATTAGCCGGGCATATTGGTATGCACTTGTCATCCCAGTTACTCAGGAGGCTAAGGTGGGAGGATCGATAGAGCCTGGGAGATAGAGGTTGCAGTGAGCCATCATGCCACCAGCCTCCAGCCTGGGCGACAGAGAGAAAACATGTCTTCCAAAAAAAAAAAACAAAAAAAAAAACCAAAAGCACAGCTAATATAAAACTTGTGTGCTAACACCATTTTGAGGTTATATTTTTCTCCTTGATCAACCCCTAAATCCCTTAAACTTATTATAGCAGGGCAGAGGTGCCAGCAGACTTGTACTCCAGGGCACCCTTGTTAGCAGAAGGCCCTGGTGTGACCAGCCCTTCTCCTCCTTTGGCAAGGGCTGCCCTGTGGGATTTCCTGGGCAGGCACCGAGGCAGGTCAGTGTCCTATTGTTACTCTGTTAAAGTGTGTGCTGTGGCACAGATTGGGTCCCCAATGTATTTCATGAAGAGCTGCATGATGAGTACATGTGTGAACAGTAAGGGCGTGCATACAAAAACACGTCAACAAATGCAGTAAATGGGCCTTGCAGCCAGGTGAAAGGTTCATAACGTCGAGTAGGCAAAGGGATTCCTGGATCCCTCTGCTGATGGGAACGAGTGATGGGTGGAACATCCTCAGTGGAAGCTGTGGTGGGAATTGTAGGATGCATCATGAGCTCTGGCCTCTCTTCCCTGGGGCAGTGGCCCCTGACTCTTTGGGGCAGAGCGCAGGGCTCCCCTGCCTTCGAGGCTGCACTCACCCGCTTCTCCAACATCCTCAGCAGCAGGCGGAAACGCTCGTCCTCACGCAACCACTGCGGCAGCTCCTTCTCCCCGTGGCTCTTAGCTTGTTCCAGCTGCTCCTTGAGCTCCTTCAGCACCGAGATCTCCTGGGTCAGTTGGCTATGCCAGGTTCTTGTCGCCTGCAGGTCTAACTCCAGGTCCAGCGAGGTGCGGATCAGACGCTCGGAGCGCAGGGACTTGACCGAGGAAGGCTGTGGGGGTGGGGATGGCTTCTCTTGTTATTAGAGCTCTGCCCAGTGAGCCCACCCAGCCCCTTCCTCTGACCCTCAAATACCCTCTCTTTCTTTACCTGTAGGCATCCACTCCTTTCGAATGGGGCTTCCCCTTCCCTGGGAAGCCTGTTGTGAATTCTCCCATTCAGCTCATGTTTACTGGGCATTTATTATGTCCCAGGAATGGTACTAAGCACTTCATTTCCATAACCTCGTTTCATTTTCACAAACCTAGGAGGTCCTGAGGGTTATCTGCACCTAGGAGGCTTGCAGAGGTTAAGTCCCACAGGGCGGGCATGTGTGGTAAAGTTGAAGTTCCACCTCAGGGAGCTGGCTGCAGTCCCCACCCGCCCTCTCTGTACACTGTGCCAGCTTCAGTACTCTCAGCACCCTCCATATGTACGTTCTCAGTTATTGATTCCTGTCACTGTACTGTTCTGAAGTTGTTTCCCCAATACAGGTCTGTTCCCGCCTGAGGGCAGAAGTCATGTCTTCTTGATTTTGTGTTCCTGTGATGGGCCCCTATTGTTTCTGCTTGTCCAGCATTTGTTTCCCCAGCCTTAGAGTAACAATGCCCTCACCTTCCCTTGGAGATCTCCTCCTCTGCACTCAATCCACCTGCTTTGTGTGGGGCATCAGGGATAGGAATGTGACCTGAACCTGGCCAATCTGAATCTCAGTGACAGGTTCAGAGGTGAGTATGTTATCAAAGCCCAACCATTAATACTCCATTCTGGCACTTTGCTGAACTGCTTGGAAAAGAGGCGATGTCTTTACACCGATGTTGCTAAGCCTTCAAGATATAAACCTGGGACTCATCATGATCATCTTTACTTGTGGGGTGACCTGTTCGAGAATTAAGCTGTACAGAGGGAGCAACGCCATGAGAAGGGGGCTGAGGCCTGATGACATCATTTCAAACTTTGGATCAAGCCATGCCTGAAGGTAGTTCAACATCCTGGATTTCTTCATTAAATTAGACAACAATTCCCTCTTTCATTTTTAAGCTGTATTTGAGTTAGTTTCTTCAGTTATCTATATGTAAAAGATCCTGATTAATTCGACCATTAACTCTCCTCCCATCACAAATCACTAATGATTAAAAAACAGTAATTCATGACTATGGGAGTCAGAATTCTAAAATGGTTTCTCAAATCCCATTCCTAATAT